ACCCCCGGGGCGACCCCCTCCCCCCCCCGCACCCCCACGCCGACCTTTTTTTTTTTTTTTTCCGCGTCGACCCCCGGGCCCGCTCCCGCACCAGCAGCTACCCTGGTCCCACCACTGGTGGGTGTGGCCCGGGGGGGGTCCGGGGTGGGGCTTAAAACCCCATTTTTGTGGTTTAGCCCATGTGGTGCGCGCTCTCTCTGCGCACCCACCACTATTTTATTTTATTTTATTGATTTTTTTTTGAATATATATACGATATATATATATTTTTTTGGGGGGGGGTCCGGAGCTGGGGTTGGGGGTGCCCACCCACGGACCCCCGCCGGGGCCCCGGGGCCAGGGCTCGGCAACCCTGCCCAAAACCTTTTGGCACCCTGCTGGTACCAGTAGGGCCTAAAACTTTGCCCCAGGGGACTGGTGGTTTAATGTAAGAAACGAGGCGGTCCGCCCAGCTATTGGCCATGGAAAAAAGTAGAGTAGAAACGTTTCTAGTTGGATGAATTTGGGCGCTCCTGTAGTGGCCCGTACGTTTCCTAAAACCGTGGCTTGTTAACGGGCACAAAGTTAGGAAGTACTGGTGGTTTAAGTAGGAGTTTTTTTTGTAAACAAGCTGTGAATTGTACGCTGCATATGTCACCAGTGAAGGGAAGTAGGAGGTTTTGTAGAACAAGGTTTGAGGTAGTGAGAGCTTAATGAAAATAGGTGATTTCTATGAGGTGGTGAGAGTCTCAAATACACTCTGCCATTCAAATCCCGTCTTGCACAGTAACAATGTGGCAGTCTGTATGCCTATTAGGATAGGATATGATGTATGCCACCAAAGGGCCTAGCTCAGTCAGTACGCCCACAAACTGTTGAAATTCAGACCCCAGCTCAAATCCCAGTCAACTCAGGCGAGTAAATAACTTTGAATTTACCTGGGACTGGTCAGTTAGAATTCAAGGTCATCGCCCTCCTTATAAAAAAAGGGTAGGATTTATGTGCTAGCTGTTTATGCAGGAGTATGGTCTCTTCTCAAACAATTCATAGACAACAAGCAACGCCTCATTGCCAGCTGTGCACCCATGCATGTGCCACGTTTGTGCACATGTCAATGGAGTGACAAAATTGAAGTGTACAGACCTGGCAAAGCAATGCAGAAAACGGGCATCAATTTGCACAGCCACTCCAATTTTGTCCTCTATGCAATGACTTGCTGTTTTCTGGTTGCCTGTAGCCTCTCCCTGTCGAGGCTGTACTGTAGGTAGGATAGATTCGTAATTTTGTTTGGCTGAGGGCTAACCGAGAGACCTACCTGTGAGGGAAATTCGTGAGGGACATATCTGCAAATTCGGGAAAAATGCAGGCCCGGTACTAACAGAATTCCCTACCACTACCCTAACTGCGAATAGCAGGCCCGGGGTACCCCTAGGACAGACAGGCCCTAAGGGCCTATTTTGATAGACGGTCCTATGGCCTATAGCCGGGTCCGGTAGAGGCCGAGAGGCCGAAACAGAAGCGGTACCGGTCGGTCAGTCAGTCCGGTCTAGGTGGAGTCTAGGCTAGGTTAGTCTATAGATAGAATGTGCACATCGGTTCAGGGCTTTTGGCAATTGGTACAGAGTACATCGCTGCTGTGCTACGCATGAACCGGAAGTGGTGATGGCTCAGCGTGTAAGGAGATAGGCATAGCCAGACCTTCAGAGCGCTGGCCATAGCTGGGACCTGCGTTGTACTCTGCGAGCACGCAGGGGCGGACAAAGGTCTGGGCTGTCGAGGTCTGCTAGAGGCGAGAGAAGTTGGTGCCCTGCTGGACCCTCCGGAGTGGGGTTCCAGGGTGGTGGCGCTGCAGTCATAGCTGCAGCTTCTTCTTCAGAGGTCATCTTTTCAGGGTTTGGTGGCGCTGCTGCAGACTTCCACCCGGGAAGTCTTCCGACACTTCGTCATCATCAGATACTGTGGCGCTGGTCTTCTTCTTCATCCTCTTGAGTGGCGCTTGGCCTCAGAGGCCTGTTTCAGGGTGGCGTTTCCCTGTGGAGGCTGTATTTGGGTGGCGCTTGATGTTTCAGGGGCTCAGGGGTGTTACGAGTGGTTGCTCAGGTTAGGGAGAGTACTGAGGTTATCCTGACAATTCGAGACTATGAGATTAATAAACAGTGTGTAACTGGGTTTGGACTATCATCGTTTAATTGTTTTCTTGTAATGTGATCTACCTTATTCTTTATGACTGGTTGTGAGGATTGAGTGGAGTGAATTGCACTTTCAGTGTACCCTGTCATGTCGCATGGTCAAGTCTTCCGATGTGTTTATCTCTCCCTGTGCGGTGTGATACTCCTATCCTCTCCCCTTCCTTCTGTGTGTGTATGGGCATACCTGGAAGTCTATGTGAGTGAGTGTTGGTCTTCAAACAACAAACAACCAGAACCATAACAGCTGGTATCGCTCTACCAGAATCATAACAGTTGGTATCAGAGCGATTGGATCCAGACTTTGGAGCGATTGATGAGTTGGAGCACCCATCATCATCTGGCGAGATACTGGGGTTGAGACTCATGGCGATTCATCATCTTCAGGGTTGTTGTCAGTAAGGGTGGTGGCTGTGAGTGTGTGGCGAGAAGCATTGGACAGAGGGTTAGGGTTGTGCAGGAGTGGTTGGAGATTGGTGCTCAGAGGCCTCAGGGAGGCTATTTTTATCCTGGGGATTCATCTGGAGGTTGGCGGTTGGAAGGGAAGTTATCCCAGGAGGTTGCGATTGTGGAATTGAGATGGGGTTGACCAGTCAGCCATAGCCAGGGTTTCATGCATCTTCTGTGTTCCTTACTCCATCCTGTGTGGCGATTCTGGGACTATTTTTAGAATAGTGAAATTTGGTCTGTTTGTCAGGTGAGAGTTGAAAATTGAAATTCAAACTGTGGGACAGCCATATCCAACTTCCCCTACCTATCTTCTTTGACTTCTACTAACCCTGTTTGACCTTCTTTCTGACTCGTATTTCATCTGTGACTGCTTCACAGTATTGCGATTTATACTATGTAGTGAATTGGTGAATTCAAGGTCCTGTTTTCAGTGATAATGCAAATTTGAATTTTGCGCTGACATAGCTAAAGCTCGGCTAGACTAGGGTCAGTCATAACTTTGATTCTGTCTGTCAGAATTCAATTCTGTCAGTCCTTGGTAAATCGCAATTCAGTACTCAGTTTGTGTTTGAAATCGCACATCCAGATGTGATGTTCTGAGTCAGTTACAATGAAAACTGTAATTCGCCATACCCTGGGTATGGCATACAAGGTCATACAGTGGTGAAGTCTGTAGGGTAGGTCTAAAAATAGGGTAACCTGTAAATCGCAGCATCTTGGTCATCAGTGGACACCTGTCAAACCCTAATTAGTCACTATGTCTAATTACTAATAAAAAAAAAAGCAGGATTTGCAATTATTGCATGCAATTGTTGTGTCAGGGCAGGGATGGGAAAATCGTGAAATTGATTTTTGCTGAGTGTACTCTAAACCGACCCTGACCCTCAAGCGGTCTGCTAAGACTAAGTACTCACTTGCTCAGAACCAACCAACCTTCTCTCTCCAGGCAGGTGACAGTAATTGAGCGAGTACTGAAAGGAAACCTCAATTCCTGTTACCTCCCGTTTTGTCTCTGGTTAATTGTTTATTTTATTTTATTCATCTGCATTGTGGGTGCTGGACGATTCTGAGAAGGGGGAAGTGTCTCAAAAGGCTGAGACTTTTGAGGTGAAGCCTCAGATACCGCCCGAGCCGCCTGTTCTGCTTGACCCTCTAGAGGCTGAACTGTGGGCCCAGGAGGAGGTACTCCGCCAACAGGCCAAGGCAGTTGGGCCCCTAAAGGCTGAGCTGAAGAGGAAGGAGGAGGCGTCTGCAAGAAAAGAAACGAGAAGGCGGGAACTGACAACAAATGTAGAGAAG